AATGCAACTGTTCCTATGAAGGGAACATTCAGACTCAAAACTCAGAGTTGGTTCCAGCTTGGAAACTGGGTTTCCAAGGTTATAAATGATAACTGAAAGGAGACTGCCCATCTTTTTCCCGAGAAAGCTGCTTGTGGATTCGAACTGCTAGAAAAACATTAGGGCAGAGGCTGTTGGAGGTCTGTATCTTGGAAACTTAAAGAGTTCATGCATCCTGTGCAAAGTAGGGTTTGAATGGAGTTTTACAAGATTGAATAGAATTGAGACCTAAACTTAGCTCTTAGCTCTGCAGTTACATCTATCTGTCCCTTTCTCTCAGTGGTTACCAAGAGGTGACGTGGATGGACTTTCATCTCCCCAAATAGCAGTGTCAGTAAAAACTGCCTGCTATACAGATAATAGCTCTAAGACAGGGCCCCCTTCTCTCCATCTACAGATTGCCAGCTCTGATTAAGCCTGCCTGCTATAGACATTCTAGTATCCTCATGTTTCCTCCATCCTTCCCACCCTGCCATTCCCCCCTCCACCCAATCCAATCATCTTTAGTGAAAGCCCTCTAATGCTGTGTGAGGTTTTAATAACTGTAATTACTAATGCTTTTAGATTGATGAATTATTTCTTATAGGAGGGGGGAAAAATCTGAAGTTTGAAAGGCTCATCTATAAATGACACTTGCCTGCAATCTTTATCTCACTTTCTGCTTTCTTTAAGCGAGAGTATTTTTGTCTCCCCTGTGGTATTGTTCCGCCCTTGCTGGTAGGAAGAATGTCCTGAGGGAGAAAGATGGCCAGTCTCCTCATTTACAGTCAATGGAAACCTGCTGGATGGTCAGATGTGTGTTGGTTCCAACTCGATGATAATGATGTTTGGGGGGTTATTTTGAGCTTACTGTTTTCCCTATTGTGCCTCAGTTGAATAGACTCTAGGTGGTGAGGTAGCTTGTGTACAGTTACAGTGGGCTTGTCAGCCATTCTCCTGTGTGGCAAAACTGTCTATTTCTGTGGTGTTGCTAGAGCCTACTGATGAGCAGAGGCCAGAAGATAGTTAACTTTGACCTCTTGCTTACTTCTTCTTTTATTGTCTCCGACACACCTACCCCCATTACCCCAGTCACTGAATCAATCTGTCTCATCCAGGGTCTTCCTCTCCTGCACTGTCTCTCCACCCTCCTACACATGACGTCCCTCTCCAGGGACTGATCCCTCCTTGCAACATGTCCAAAGTATGTCAGACAAAGCTTCAGAATCCTTGCCTCCAAGGAGCAGCAAACTTCTTTAGATAAAAAAAAATTCTTCTGAAGACTTATGATGATAGAAACGTTTGCATTTTCCTTTACCAGTATATATAGGTCAGTTTATTTGTCTTTAAGAATAAGTTCATTCTTGAGAAAAGTGAAACAATGAATGACTGGAAACTCTATGTCTCTGTAAACTTTCATTAAAATTAATTTTTAAAAAATTAAGAAGGGAATGTAAACAAAAAAAAGAATAAGTTTGTTCTTTTTGCAGAGAAGATGGGTGTTCAGGTTTTTTCTTGCCCTCTCAGATCTTTCTGATGCTTCTGAAAGAGCCAGCTTCAAGATTAACCCATTATTGTCTTAAGACATGCACCTGGCCGATTCCTAATGACGGTTATTGCTAGGTGTCATCATGTAAGCTATGATCCATGCGACCTTCTGTACAGCAGATGTCTGGGCCTGTGCCATTGTCACAATCCCTGCTGTTTAAGCCTATTTTTGCAGTCATTCTGTCAATCTATTTTGTAAATACCCTTCATTTCTCCTGTAGACCCTCTACTCTTCCAAGCACTATATTCTTTTCCAAGTACTGGCACCTCCTGTTTACATGTTCAAAGCATGTGAGATGAAGTCTTAAATCCTTGCTTCTGAGAAGCACTCTGGCTACACTTTTGCCAGGACAGATTGATTTGTTCCTTTGGCAGCCCATTGTATATTCAGTATTCTTCACCATCGCCACATTTGAAAGGCATCAATTAAGTGTATGTTTTCTGCTGTGACTTGCCCTTCAGGAAGTGACACCCACAGAAAATATCCTATGACCCAGACTAGTTGTTGGGTGAGGATAGATGGAGAGTCATATGATATGAAGATGAATCACTTTGCTTATTTGCTGTTCTTTCTTTGATCCATCATCTTGGGAACTGGAGGGAATGAAATACATTTAAGACACACAGTGGCTGGTTGACCTGGAAAGGAAGCCTTTATAAAGGAAGACCATAGTTGTAGGCTGCAGCATAACCCCAAGTTTCCAAGGACATTGGAGCATTAAGGTACTATCAGCTAGAGAAGGTGGATTTCATCTTTATGATATCTCATGTGCTGGTCTCCTGCCTGTCAGAGTTACTTGAGCTAGAAGAAGAAGAATCAATGCTTTTATCCCTTGGAGCTGTGATACTGGAGAAGAGTATTGAATACACCATGGACTGCTAAGAGAACAAACAGGTTAGTCCTGGAGAGGATGAAACCAGACTGTTCCTTGGCGGCTAGGATTCTGAAGCTCCATCTGACATACTTCAGGCATGTTGCAAAGAGGGACCAGTCCTTGGAGAGGCACATCATACTTAAAAGGCTGGGGGGACAAGTACAAGAGAAGACGACCCTGGATGAGATAGACTGACTGGGTGAGTGGGGTAATGGGGGTAGGTGTGTCAGAGACAATGAAATTGGCTCAAGATAGAACAGGGTTCAGAGTTGTACGTATAGTGTCGCTTTGAGTCGGAGTTGACTCATAATGATAACACACAGTAACAACAGACTTGTTGCAAACTCTCCTGATTTGCTTTTTCTCCCTGATTGCTGTCCTAATTTGTCATTCCTAGCTTTTTCCCCCCACATAGGATCATTTTTTTCTTTTTTAATTTATTATTAATTTCAATGAAAATTTACAGAGACCTTGGATTACCATTCATTCATTGTTGCACTTTTCTCCCCTCCCAACCCTCCTCCCTAGTACACTACCCTATTGGAAAAGTAAAAGAAAAATTCTTACATTGTTTTACAGTCCCTCCCCCCAGGTCTACTCCACTATGCAGCCTTCACTCAGGACTCCTGTCATGACAAAAACACCTAATCACATATCCCTTTTAAACAGTTTTCACCCTCATCTGTTTCAATGCAATATACATTATGGAACCCATCTTTCTGAGTCTTCCCCCAACCCTGATGTCAGTCCTGCTTTACAGCAGTGGCACCATGTAGTATTTGTCCTTTTGTGGCTGAGATACTTCACTCAGCATAATGTCCACCAGGGTCACCCATTTTGAATAATACTGCATGAGTTCCTTGTTTTTCAATGCAGCATAGTATTCCATTGTGTGACTATACCACAGCTTCTCTATATTCCTGTTGTTGTTGTTGTTGTTGTTATGTGCCCTTGAGTCGCCTGCGACTCATAGCGACCCTATGTACAACAGCCCTAAACTCCGCTCTGTCCTGTGCCATTCGCACTGTCTCCGACACTCCCATCCCAATTATCCCAGTCACTGAATCAATCCACCTCATAGAGGGCCGTCCTCTTCTGCGCCGCCCCTCCACCTTCCCAAGCATGATGTCCCTCTCCAAGGACCGGTCTCTCCTCACAACATGTCCAAAGTATGTTAGATGAGCCTCAGAATCCTTGCCTCCAAGGAGCCACCCGGTTTAACCCTTTCCAGGACAAATCTGTTTGTTTTCCTAGCAGTCCATGGTATTCTCAGTACTCTTCTCCAGCACCACAGCTCAAAGGCATCAATTCTCCTTCTATCCTCCCTGGTCATTGTCCAACTCTCTGATGCATAACAAGTGATTGCGAAGACCTAGCTTTTTTAAATTCCAAAGTCTTGTCAACCCTCAGGGATAGATTAGTAAGACCGATAATCAGTCATTGATTAAAAGAATTTTCTTAACCTTCTTCCATAATACCCTTTTAAGTTTGCTTTCATTTGCTAATTTTTCAGTCTCTTAAATAACTGATTCAGAGCAGTCATGTGTACATTTGTATTTCTTGGGAGCATGGAGCTTTGGTGGCATAGTGGCAAGAAGCTGTGCTGCAAGCCCAAAGGCACAGGGTTCAAGGCCACCAGCTTCTCCCTGGGAGAAAGATGGGCTATCTCCCCCCATGTAGTTAACTGTCCCTAAAACTCATCAGGGGATCAGCTGTGGGTCAGCTCTGACTATGTGGTAAACAGCAACAACAATAATAATCTGGGGATCTGGGATTTGATAGTATTATGATGCACCAGATAAAGTACTGTAGTATAAATGGGGCAACACACACCTCCCCCATGTAAGCCACTACTAGGTACATGAATTCTTTCCTATTTTTTAAATGATTACTTTATAGAGGCTTTCATATATATCAGTGCAATGCTATACTGTATCTGGGAGGGCTGGAAGTAGCATTGAATTGAAGTAAGATTTTGGCCAGTATCTCAAGATCTGCCAGAAATAGTTTCTAGTTCTTGCTTCTTGAAATGTATAATTTACTTTACTTTTTAGACACACTAAGTTAGATGTATATTTATAATTAATATACAAAGGGAGCTCTGGTGCTCTAGCGGTAAAAAAACTACGCAGCAATCCTGAAGGCTCGTGGTTTGAATCCATCAGCTGCTCCATGGGAGAAGGATGGGAAGTCTCCTCCCGTGCAGTTTATTGCTTCTGAAAACCCACTGGAGGGTCAGCTGTGGATCAGTTCTGAGTCAGGGCACACAACAGCATTAAGTGAGAAGGAGGTACTGACATGAGTGAAGAGAGGTGAAGAGGAGTGAGGCAACTGGAAGAACAAGGAGGCTTGGGCCTTCTTAGGTCACAGCTGTTTCCCGCAGTGGTCTCTTGGCTATGCTTGTGCACTAGTGCCTTTGCCTTACCAGCTAGAGAGAATCCTAGTCTGATTGAGGATTGTCTGATGACCTTTCCTTTCTTTTTAGATTCTTGTTCACTTCCTCTTGGAGCTACTTTATTCAGCTTGGTGTTCACGTCCCTTCTTCTCTTGTCTCTGTAGAAGATCATTGCTGTCTTCAAACCGAAGAATGAAGAACCATATGGGCACCTTAATCCCAAGTGGACCAAGTGGCTGCAGAAACTGTGCTGTCCCTGCTGCTTTGGCCGTGATTGCCTTGTCCTCAACCAGGGCTATCTCTCTGAGGCAGGAGCCAGCCTGGTGGACCAAAAACTGGAACTCAACATTGTGCCCCGTACAAAGGTAAGTGACTTATCTCCAGGAAGCCTTATTTCCGGGCCAGAGTTTCACAGAGACCTAAGCCTCCGTACCTGTTAATGGGAGTACTAAGGCCGGCGAGAGCTATTTATGTCACATCTGAGGGTCTTAACTTTTTTTCTTTTGAGGGAGAAGAAGATTGGGTTTATGATTTGTTCACCTGATGAAAGTGATCCTTGGAAAGATACATAGAGCCTCTGATACTCAGCGCCTTTAGATCCTGTGAAACTCCAAGCTAATTAGAGATATATTTTCACTAGGCACTATCTTGGACTTGTGTGTCAGTTCAGCAGATACAGTCTAGAGTGAACTAATTTATTTCAACGAAACATCAAAGTAAGATTCTAGAAAGGGCAACTGGTTAGATTCTAGGATGGGCCACTGGTTAGATGGAAGATCTAGTCAGAGCCGCTACAAAGAACTGACATGGAATTCTCTCCATCTGTCGCTGTTTGAACAGACTAAGATAGGAATCATGTTTCCAGGTGTGTTTTTTGGTTTGTTTTTTTTTTTTTTTTAGTTTTGCTTTCCGGGTACATTTTCTAGTCAAAACCAATGTTTCCAGGTTTGGAATCTTAACTTTATATGCTTAACTGGATATGAATACTATAGACTCAGTTGAAGTTGTTTGAACAATCCTATTCCCTGGAACCTATGTTTAAAAAAGAATTAAGTTGTATTCAGTTTGAGGAAATTTACTGATCACCAGGTTAAGGACCCCCTGCACTGCATACAAGGGCATAACCTTCATCCACAGGACTTTCCAAGGATTGTGAGGGAAAGAAATCAAGTGATCTGCGTATGGACCTTTTTATTTATTTAGTTCCCCTTCCCCCCTTTCTGTTTGTGTACTGTCAAATCAGATCTGACTAGCACAGGAGCTTTTCCCTCCTCCTCCTCCAGTGGAGCATCTTGTGGATTGAACCTTGTGCCTTAGGGTGTGCAGCACAGCTTCTTGCCACTCGGCCACCAGAGCTCCCTCCATATGGACCTTTAACAACACACTACATAAGGATATCTTCAGTCATGACTTAAGTAGAGCCCTGATGTGGTGCCCTAAGGCTGTAAGGGCATCTTCGTATCTCTAAATAAATGTCTTGGTCTTGACTCTCTTTGAAAATCTGAAGTCTCCAGAAAAAAATAGGCATATTTACCATCATTGTTCTACATATGAGTTCATGGTCGAGTGGCTGTTTGACTCACAGTTGAAATCATAGTTGACCCTCTGAGAACTATGGTCTCTAGATTTAAATCCTCTGTTTGGGGTTTTTGCAGTGTGTGAAGGCAGAGAAATTGATAGCAATTTCCCTTCAAACCTTGTCCCTTCACCAGGAGTTTTAAAAGAGAATGTGATTTAGTACATGTTTAATTCTGTTTACTTCTTTGTCACTAAACTCTCAATAATAAATCAACTAGTTGGTAAGTTTATAGAAGTGAGGGACCATTTCTTGACATCTTATTTTCCTGCTCTTAGTGCTTCGCAAAGTATTGTACTCTTAGTGCAGTAGGTACCAGGTGAATCACTGAATGTCAGATCATGAGAAGCAATACCAGAAGTCCCCAGCATTAGATCTGTGGAAAGTGCTTTCTTGGGCTCGTCGCTCCCATTGGATTTCTGATTTCACCATTTGGTCTTGATGCTCATTCTTTCCCTTAGTGGTTGATTTTTTTTTCCCTTCTGTCCAAGCAGGTTATTAAAACAGCACACGTGGGGTATCTTGTATGATAATTAGCATTCCTGAGATCTTGCCTAACCTGAAATCCTCCTGTTGGGCCACTCCTCGACTCCAGAAAGCTTGAAGTATTCTTGGGTCACTCCTAGACTCCGGAAAGCTGTAAAATACTCTTTGTTCTTCACACTGTAATTTCCTTACTTTGCTAGTTAGATCTCAGACCACAGTCCTTGGTAATGTGCCTGCCTGCCCTGACCCAACTTCTGGAGTAGGAATGCAGTGCCTCTGAATTAGAGGACTGGCATTTGAATTATGGTTTAGCTTTTCATTTGGGTGAACATAAGCAAGTCATTGAATCTCTCCTATGATTTGTTTCCTCACTGTCAAAACTAGGAATATAACTAGTTCCTGTTTTATAGAGTGACCATCAGTAATACATGTGGATAATACATGGATAGCACCATCTCCAGCACAATATAGATGCTTCAGTCCCTTTCTTCTCCATCTCTGGGCTTCCACTCATCCTATTGTTGTTGTGTACCATTAAGTCAGAACCGAACCATAGCTGACCCTCTGGAGTTTTCAGGAGAGGAGATTCCCTATCCTTCTCCCTCTTTTACCCTATTAATGGACCTTAATGAGACCTGAGGATCTTTTGCCTCAAAAAGTGAGCAAGAGCAAAAACATTGTCTTCTGTGAGACCAAGATAACACAGAACTTTTCAACTTAAGGTTCAGCTGCTGTAGGATAATAAGGGAAGTCTGTGTCTTCTCTGCCTCCCCCACCCTCGTGATTCTGTCCACTTGGTCACAACATCTGACACTGGAAAAGAGACTCTTGCAGTGGAACTTCAAATATTGTTGTTGTTATGTGCCAGAAAGTTGCAGCCAACTCATGGCTGAGAATCTCCAGTGGGTTTTTGGAGACTGTAAATCACACAGAAGGAGATTGCCCATCTTTCTTCCTTGGAGCAGCTGGTGGATTTGAACTGTGTGTCTTTGGGTTGACAGCACAACTCTTTACCCACTAGGCCACCAGAGCTCCCATTGAGAAGGAGAAAGCTATCTCTCCTCTGCCTCTCCCACCCTCTTGACAGGGTCTATCTAGTTGATCAGAGCATCTGACATTGGAAACTGGGCTCTCTTTTCAGCTGTTGTTGTTGTTATGTGCTGTCGAGTTGCTTGTGACTCATAGCGACCCTCTGTACAGGAGGTGTAAACCCTGCTCTAGCCTGTGCCAACCTCACCATCTCTGACACTCTCATTCCCACCACCCGAATCACAGAATTGATCCATCTCATCGAGGGTCTTCCTCTCCTGTGCTGTCATGCCACTCTCCCAAACATGTCCCCCTCCAAGGACTTGTTCCTCCTTGCAACATGCCCAAAGTATGTCAGATGAAGCTTCGGAATCCTTGACTCCAAGGAGCAGCCTAGCTTCACCCTCTCCAGGACAAACCTGTTTGTTCTCCTAGCAGTCCATGGTATATTCAACACATATTCAAAGGCATCAATTCTCTTTCTATCATCTCTAGTCACTGTCCAACTCTCCAATGTATAGCATGTAATTGTGAAGACTATAATCAGGCACACCTTAGTCTCCAGCCTGACGTCATTGCTCTTCAGTGTTCGTGAGAGGTCCCCGTCAGCTGACTTTCCCAAGCAGTTTGTCTACTGACTTCCTGGTTGCTGGTACCAAGAGTGTTGACTGTGGAGCCAAGGCTCTAATTTTTAACTTGCAAACTATCTTTGCTGTTTGTCCTTATGAGGTTCTAGTTTATGATAGTTACATTTCATATAAAGGAAAAGTGATTTGTTATAGAAAGTCATCAAAAGTAAATCTAGTTGGGAAAAGGGTAGTTTATAGTATGCATTGATTTGAGAGAAGCTAGGATTTTTTCTGTGGAAAACGTCAAGGTAGACTTAGAAAAGTGCTTTCTTCCTTCTTCAATGGCAATTTTCTGATTTCTAAGGTGGAGTGCCTACCGCATCTCTCTGCACTTCCATTTTAGGACTCTGGTGACATAGATGGGTGGGTGAAAGTTACCAAGATCATTACCCTGATGGTTCTTGGGCACAGTAATTGAAGGTGTTTTGGGGTCATTTGCAACACATAGTGACACACAGTACTCACTCAGTTCCTGCTGGAATTTTTAAATGTCTGAGAAGATAAGGAAGATTGATGACTATCTAGCTGTTCTCTGCCATAGTGATTGGATCCTTTAAACTTGATTCTAACCTGGATATCTCTTCTCTCTACTATAGGTAGTATACCTGGCCAGTGAAACCTTCAACTACAGTGCCATTGACCGAGTGAAGTCCAGAGGCAAGCGGCTTGCGCTGGAGAAAGTGCCAAAAGTTGGACAGCGGTTTAATCGCATTGGGCTCCCGCCAAAGGTACAGATTGAGGCTCCGAAACTATATGGCTTATCAGAAGTGGCACGGGATAATTTGTAGTGACGCAGTAGCCCACATGGTGAAGCGAGATGCCTGCAGACTCATACGTGGAGTGTGAGTAGCCTGTTGAGATGCCCGACATCATCACTTCTCTCAGATCTGAGATTTGGGGCGACATCCTCCAGGGTCGAATACCCTGCCTTTCTCATGTTATTCCTCTGAGCCAGTTAGGTGGGCTTCGGGGATTAGTATAGGTAATGACTGTCACACCCTTTTTTCTGTCTTTACAAGAAAAGGAAGGAGTAAAGACTTTGAAATCATTGCTCTCCTATGATATGAACTCCACAGGGCCTTTGAGAGAGCTGGCTTACTCCTGGAGTCGTAGGGAAATAACCTTTGCTCCTAACTCTTGGTTCCAGGTTGGTTCATTCCAGCTCTTTGTTGAAAACTACAAAGATGCAGACTATTGGCTGCGACGTTTTGAAGCAGAACCACTCCCTGAGAACACTAACCGGCAACTCCTGCTGCAGTTTGAGCGGTTGGTGGTGCTAGATTACATCATCCGCAACACTGGTGAGCGAGCAGCTGTGGTGGTCCCTTTGTCTGGGCCAGACTGGAAGCTTGGGGGAAGAAGGCCTGGAGGCTTGCAGGGTTTGAGAATGAATCAGTGTCTTACCAGGATGAGTTTTTATAAATCACTGAGTTGTAAGGGTCGTTCACATTTTGGGGAGGATCTCAGAATACTTTTCTCATTTCCAGACACATTTAAGTGTTCTTATCAAAGGCGATAAGGCCTAGAGCAAGGATTTGTATTTATCTCATCATCTTTCCTGGTCCCAGGTAGAAGACACTTGGCTTTGGCTCCTCTAGAGCTCCAGGAAGGATACTCTTCTGGATCTCTAGTCATTCTTTATATTGTTGTTGTTATGTGCCTTCGAATTGGATTGAAAGGGACAGGATAAGATTGCCCCTTCTTCTCAAGCAGAGGATCTGGTAGATTTGAACCACAGGCCTTCAGGATTGCAGCGTAGCTTCTTGCTACTAGGCCACCAGAGCTCCCTTTGGATCTGTAGTCATTCTTTTTTTTTTTTTTCTATAATTATATTTT